TTTTTTTTTTTTTTTTTTTTTTTCTTTTTTTTTTTTTTTTTTTTTTTTTTCGTTCCCCTTGGACACCGCCGATTTTTGTCGGCTCGTCGTCTCTCGAGGTTCTATTATTAATCCGGCCGTGGAGTTTCCACCGCTTTTTCGGAAATAAATTCCTGGGGCAACGTGGGTTTCCTCGTTGGTGGGGCGATTGTGAAAACACGGGGATTGAGATTGATGGGTCGCGCCGCGAGAGGATGATTAGTCATGCAGTATGCATTTTTCACGCGAGCGGCACGCGTCCGCGCGACTACTGTTCACTCGTTTTTAATTATTTTCTTTTCGTTTTAATGGGCCCCGTACACCTATATACCGATGCTCGATCGGATGAAGCTCTTCACCCGTACTTTGCTGGTGGTGGTGGTGAAACAATTTTTTACCAACGTTTGTTAATTGCCTCTGGTGTGCGGGCAATAATAGCATATTGGAAGACTAATGGTGTGTAACCGTGCGCTTGGATTACAGGGCGATCGATTGGATGAAAATGATTTACTGATCAAGGACGCGGACGACATAAACACCAACTCCTACAGCGTCCGGTTGCTCGACGACGTTCACAATGCCATTAATTTGACATTTGACACCATGTCGATTTATCACCCGAAAATGCCCAACTTTCCCCCATGGACCGCAATTTACGCAAGTAAGATCACACACACACACACACACACACACACACACATAGTTTCTACGACCACGTTAATTCGATACCCATGCGTACGATGTGTTTTCGCTTTGCAAATTGAAAAGTTGAAAAACACATAATGTACGTACACGTATGACAAAATAATAACACTAATAGATATACGCACGGCACGTGGGTGGGGTACGCGTAATCTGTGATCATTGACGCAAACGCGGTGTCAAACACGCGAACGTACACGTGTATATACTTACAAGTTTATTAGCATACACGTTTCTCTATATGTATACGCGCGAGTTGATTTGTCATCAAACAACATTCAATAGGGGAAAACAAAAGTATTAGTTGGCAGTTTGACAATACCTCGGCATCGGAACCAGATAACGTCGAGTTGCCTTTTACTACGTGGGACAGCTCTAATTTTGCCACCCATTTGCTAGCACGAGCGAAAATGAGTGGGGATCGATTAAAAATTTTAAAAACAACATTTTTTACCGTGTATACACATGTGAGGATTTGTTTGTTTTCGTCGTGTAAAAATATTCGTGTTTGTTGACAAAATATACAAAGAAGATTATTACAGGAGACCCGAAAGTTGCGTCAAATGTCCAAAAACCACGTTCGGTTGTATAAAGGAACAAAAAAGAAAGATTTTCATCCCCAACGTTTTGTTGCAGGATTGCACTCCAGGACGACGCTACTTCCCGAATCGCCGTATCGCGTGACGTTGCAAGTGATCGATGAATCCCTGCTGCCGGGCTTTGGAAACAATACGGTGAGCATAACGGCCCGATCGCCTAATTCCTCACATACATACCCACACACAGAGCAACAAACAATACTCTCTCGCGTGTGTTTCGAGTTTATCGGAATAAGTTTGGAGGAGCCGGTGTTCGGAGAATTTACACAGGAATGGCGCAGGATATTGCCGATTAAATCTCCTTCCCCCCGCCCCTGACCCCCATAAGCAATAAACCGCGCCTACGGACGCTCCGCGATGGATATCCGCTGGAAGTGTTAATTAACGAGATTTGTCGATCGGCTGAGTATACGTTTGTGCGGAAACATTGAATTTTCTTTTATTTCACACCCGCATTTAAAAGGGGCAGTTTTTTTTTATTTTTCCCTGCAAAATGTCGGATTGTTTGTTTTTTTGTTTGCCTCATCCCGGGTGGTGACGGAAATTACGAAGCAGCGCTGTTTCTTTTTGGTCTGCCGCTCTAATGAAACTTTCGTCGATGAAGCGCGTAAGACCTATCCGATTTTCACACACGGATCGTACATATGTATGTATATATATGTATATATATACATACGTGCAAAAGAAAATATACAACAAAAGCTGAGCTATGGATGACCACGATGGAGGGCGAGTTGTTCAATTCAATGATGAACCACCAAAGGTTTTGCCGTAGAGGACGCTTGTTTAAAGTGCACCATCGTCTCTTTTTTTGCGGTTTAGGAGACTACGCGTACAACGTCCCACCCCCCGCCGGTGAAAAGATTGCTTCGCGAAGAAATCGAGCAAAAAAAAAAAAAAAAGGGGGGGGGGAGAAGAGGAAATCTCGTCGTCGTGCTGCAACGGTCGGCGATCCGTATCGCAGACTTTCCGCGCTCCCTGCGATTGACGGGCGCCGCCGAAGACTTTTTCGAGGCACCGCAAATTGCCCTCCCCCGCACAGTTTATACGAGCAAAGCACATACCTTGGGGGTCTCTCCTTATTCGTATCCCGCGTATCTGTGATTAATCTTCGGCCGGGGTATGGACAATGCCAGTATAACGTTTTGCTCTTGTATAATATATATACATATATATGTTTCGGGGAAAATAGCTTCCCCTTCCTCTACGCACCAATGGGAAATCCGCACAAAACAATGACCCCCCCGACGATTTTACCCACCAGCTCAACATCACGCTGCTGTTCGTCGGTCCGCAATACCGGAGCACGACGACCGCGGCTTCAGTACCCACGGCCCGCCGGATCCTGTACCCAGAATCCGTGCGCGTGTCCCGGGGCTCGGGCCGGTTCTTCCGGGTCGCCCAGCCCATCGAGCCGGTCGACTCTAAGGTGGTTTTCAGTTTGCGGGGACCGCGGGCCTTTGGCGTCACCCGCGCGGCTGGCATCGTTTACGTGGCCAACTCCAGCGCCCTGCACTCCCTGCCCGCGGTTGTTAGGTAACTATGCGCCACCTCCACGCGTCGTTTGTTTCTTCGTAAGTGTAAGTCTTGTGTGTTTCCGTTGTAGCTTGCGGGTCGAGTGGCGCACGGCCACCGATCAATTTTCCGTGCCTATGGCGGTTAAGGTTTACGAGCCGGAGGAGACGTGCGAGCACCTGGACAGGACGGCCAGCACCTGCGCCACCGCTGGGAATGCCGAGGACTGCGAGGGCCGGTGCGGCGTGGGCATTGGCGACTCCGAGTAAGGCTTTACTTTTTTTTTTTTTTTTTTTTTTTTTTTTTTTTTTTTTTTTTTTTCTTTTTTTCGACCTCGTCCTTTTGTCTGCGATGCAAGATATAACGTTTTTCGCTCTTTTATAATTAAGTATATATACATGTTGTGATTTTAAAGCCATTTTTAGCGCAAGCTCGAATTGCTACGTGTCTAAAAAGGGTTTGTCCGGAATTTTTTCATGGCTCCAAGTTAATTTTAAGCTCTGTGTTTATTTGTACATTTTGTTGGTAAAAAATTGTCTCGACAGCCCAAACGACGAAAAGACGGGTGGCTGCGTTTGGCGATCCAACAAATTGAACAGCAGCGCGATGACTGAAAAGTACCAGACCTGCACGCCCAACTTGAAATTCTGTCCCGATTACACGTGCGACGAGCTGGAATACCTCGATTACAAGATTTGCCCGCAGGACTGTGTCATCGAAGGTGAGGCTGCCCTACTGTTGTCTCTCAACAATATACTATATACGGTGCCAAGGGGCGTTTTCGGAACAAAAGGGCCTATGTAGTTTCCATTACCTACAGCATGGAAAATTGGATCAAAGCAAAAAATTACAACTATTTTTTTTAATTTCCGCGATGATTTACACTCGATACTTAAAGCATGCCATTGTCAATTGTCGCCTGTAAATACCGTGGCGTTACACACTTTTAACACTTTTATTATTACCCATTGTGCCCCTCGCGGTTAATTTGAAAAGACTTTCGGTGAAACGAATCTCATTTCGCGGAAGGGACGCGAATCAAAGCCAAACGAATTAACCATCCAATTGTTTGGGCTCCCCAAAGAGAACTGTTTAACCGGGACTCTCTGAAAACCGGACACACGGCTTTTCTAATTAACTTTTACCTTATTATACGCAGTTTTAATTAATTCTCTCGCAAATACCTGAAAACGCTCCACAAAGCACTTTCATTTCACGCGTGTGTAAATTGAAAAAAAAAGCCGAGGTGCACTTTGCCGAGCTGAACAAGAACGGCCGAGGCATCAGACGCGGCGTCGGCACCTGCAAGTGCGAGGACACCATGCAGTGCAACTGCGGCCTCGGCAGCGACAAGCCATCCTCGTCCTCGTCCCCAATGGTGATTCACAAAAACCACCCCACCGCAACCGAAACCCCGGCGAGGAGCAAAAACAACGGAGTCCCGCCCGAGGTCGTCGCGTCCGACGCGAGGAAAGGTAAGGATTCCGATCGATCGAGTTCCACCGGAGCCGGTGGGACACATTCGATCCAAATATTTGGCGAGCCCGCGCGAGCTCACTCGGTGGTAATTAATTGAAATACTCCCGATGATGCGCGCGTGGCTGACCATATTTACGTATTACTACTTGTTTACTTAGCGGTGTATACAGCGCACGACGTGCCGTCACTCGAGTTTAACTTCCGCGTCGAGCAATTAATTTTTCGTATTGATTATTATCAAGTGATTGTCGTTGATGAAAAATTTGTTTTTTCTTGCAAATGTCGTTTACAGCTACAGGTAGCCCGTGCGGGTCGACGTGCGTGATAGGGATAGTGTCGTCGTGCGTCTTCGTCGTGCTGATCATCATCGGGATTTGCTTCGTCTGGCGACACAGGTGAGAACCAACACCTCCCATCCACTTAAATGACATTTTCCATTTACTCTGTAACTTAGCTCCATATTACCTATAGGTGCGCTAATTTGCTCGACACGGCTAATCGAACCCACACCATTACGCGCTGCGTGAAAAGTTTCCTCTGTTCGCTTTGTTTTATTTTATTTTTTTCCTACTCCCCGTACGTGCATGAAAGGGCATCGTGTAGGCGTTGCCTGCTCCCTGTTTGCACGACCTAAATGCGCGCAAACAGAGAGAAACGCGAGCGCGTGATACGGTCCTGGGAGCGTGTACATTGTGGCCATCGCCGCGTGGCGGGACGATAAGCCGTGCGAGATCGCAGCTCAGCTTGCATCCGGAAGGTTTTTTGTACGTCTAGTGAAAATCGATGATTTTTTTTTTCTTTTTTTTTTTTTTTTTTTTTTTTCTTTTTCTTTTTTCAGTGGCTGGGTAACAGCAGATATCTCATTACGCCGTTTTAATTGAAATCCGTGAAATTTATCGTTGCTGCTGCGCAATAAATTAAAAACTACTGCGACGCAATATCAATCAAACGACGAGTCATCGTTTGACACGTATACCTATGTATCACTTGAATTGAACTTTTGGTATGTTAAAAATCACCCCCAAAAACGCTTGTACGCGTGGATATTAAATTCCCGGTACGCCACAGTTTCCTTGAACTCTTGCACCCGCTGGTGGATTGAATTTTTTCGCGAGTGGTTCACCACATCAGATTCATGTAAAGTTCGTTCGGGGAATATATTCCACATCGAAACGCAATTTGCCACGCGAATACAAATCCAAGCGCATCAAATCTGTAACACTTTTTACACTCTTGTAGGTGCCTATATAGTTTTAATATATGTTTCAAGTGCGTAGTTCACACCTCGAACGTGTCGANAAAAAAAAAAAAAAAAAAAAAAAAAAAAAAAAAAAAAAAAAAAAAAAAAAGTTAGCTGACGTAAAAAATGCATCCCTCGCATAGGTATGGAACTAAGGTGCCGAGACGAGGCTGCATGCACAGGGGCAGCGACGGCATCAACGGCGTCGGGATCCTGCCGCTGGACTACGCGGATCGCGGCGACGGCCTGCTAATTGGACTGGAATCCCTGACAGCTGCCAATCGCATGCTCCTCACCCAGAAGAATTCCCCGGTAAGATGTGCACGGCACCATTACGCCCTGTGCGAATATATACTGATCTCATTGTGTATGTACATACACGTGGAAGTTATTACCGCTGACTCGCACGATATTTTCATTCGTGTGTTATTTTAACAATGCTCTCTTTTTTTTTTTTCTTTTTTTTTTTTTAATTAAAATGGCACGGTGATGTTTCCGAGGTGTACACGGAGCGCGTGATAATGTGCCACCAGGTAACGAGCGCAAATGAGCTCCGTCTGGGTTTTGTTGTCACAGCTTTGTGATGAAATTCATTAGAGTAATGCGCGCCTGTTGTTACTTTTGTGCCTACATTTTTTCCATAAGTAATTCTATATTCTGCTGTTCCGCGCGTGTAACTTCGCGGGCAATGATTGACACACACGCTATACTGTGGTAATTATTGCGAGCTACAGAAAAATCCAAAGATTACTCGATGTAAAGAGTATACAACGTGTTAGCTGATATGCAATACGTGCTTGGCGGCAAAAATTTCAATTTTGTAAAATGAAAGTTTCCGCCCAAGTGGAAAAAAAGAAGGGGAGCGTAGAACGACACTCTCACTGCCCTTTCAATTCAAACTAAAATACAATGCACGCCCTGTGACTTCGTTCGTGCGAGTTTACCTGCCTGGGCAAATATTGTCACTGCACTTTGGCCGCATCGCTTGCGGTGAGGGGGAAAAAAAAAAAAAATCAACAAGACGTCAAACGCGTTATACATCCGACGCGCGGGGTCCTTATCTCTTCCCCTCGGCTTTTGATCTTATCTCGCTGGGGCCGCTTGTATCAAGTATTCACAGTAAAACATTTTTTTTCTTTTTTTCCAAGCAAAAGTACTGCTTTTACTTTTCGTCCGTCATTAAGCGAATTAGAAGTGCGTCAGCTCGCACATCCATATGAAAAAAAAAAAAAAAAAAAATGGTTGGTATACGTGGGTTATTGGTGAATAAGTCGAAAGACGGACGATCACGCGGTGTTTTCCGCTCAGTGGACCGTTAACAGAGGTGCGGATAAAAATGAACGGTGTCGAGCGCTCGGGTGTGTATTTCGCACCTCCTTTGGGGTCGTGTTTCGGATTACCAATTTTTTTTTTTTTTCTTTCCCCCTCATCGGCCGAGTGGACGATTCATAAAAAATTATTGCTCGGAGCACACTCGTGTGGTTTTCTCTCGACCCAAGAACTTTCCGCAGTTTGGGATGTATAAAAACGAGAGTGCCCCGCCAATACATAAATCGATATCCGACTCCAGCGGGGCATACAAAGTTGAGACGAAATGGTCAACTTTCCCTTTTTTATTTTATCACCGTGTGCTACTTTACGCGAAACTTTATTTTACGCGTACTCTTTTATATCGACGTCGGGGATGAAAAACGCCACTTTCATCTCAAGTTTTCGGTGGAAAAGAAAATAATAACCAGCTCGGTAGGGAATTTTTTTTTTTTTTTTTTAATTGCAAGAATAAATTGTAAAACCTTGTCAAGCTTGATACTATTGGTAGTAGGTACACGTTTATTTTCGCGCAAAAAGCGAGAGCCCCTTACTTAGGTTGTCATGAAAACTTAAAAATATATGTAATTGTCTTTAAACTTGCTTCGCCATGTACAGCCGGACCCAAAGTGGGAGTTTCCCCGCTCGCGGTTGACGATCGAGCAGGTGCTGGGCGAGGGCGAGTTCGGCCGAGTCTTGCGAGCAAAAGCCCAGGACATCGGGGGCTGGTCGGGCTTGACGACCGTGGCCGTGAAGACCCTGAAGGAGGACGCGAGCACCTCGGAGCTGGTCGACCTGCTGTCCGAGTACCAGCTGCTCAAGGAGACCCAGCACCCCAACGTCATACGGCTCCTCGGTGCCTGCACGACGCTGGGCGGCCCGATATACCTCATCATCGAGTTTGCCGAGTTTGGCTCGCTCAGGTAAGCGGAGCTTTACATTCCTCTCTCTCTCTCTCTCTCTTGGCGAGGAAAGTCAACATTGAATTTTTCATGCGCTCGAGGTGCTTCGCTACAAGGACGAGCTTGGCGTTGAATATATGGATGGGTACACGTGTGGCGAAGATCCGAAAGTTCGGAAAGCTCGCGTCTTTCATTATTCATTTTAATTTCCAACCACGAGGTTTTTGCCAAATTGCAATTTTTTTTTTGTACGGTCATGTCAGTACACAAAAGTGCTTCGGAAGTTGAGATTTTTCATGTTTTTAAAAATTATTCATACAGTCCCTTCGACAATTTTTGAAGCTCTACATGGTCATCAATGTATTAGTTTATTGGTGAAATTTGTTTGGTGGTCATCGTAATAACAATATTAATTTTATAAGCAAAAAAAAAAAAAAAAATCTAGTCCCTCCACAGCATAACATACAGCAAAGGACAATCAACTGACGGTCACTTCGAAACTTGATATAAACCGTGTTTTTTCAAAAATTCGTTTCGTGAAAAACCTCCCGATTATCGCGCACCTCGTGAATTAACGCTGGGAAAACTTTTAAGTGAGAAAACTCGGAGCCCGTAAAAAACAATACCCCCTCGCTCATACGCATCAGCGTTTAATAAAAACCAAGTGAAGAATGCCGGTGGACAGGGCGAACCCGACAAAACACACACACACACCGCAGGACTCCCTCCCACTATGCATGCAAATGCTCGTCGCGAAGCTTGGCTCTGTCTTTTAGACCGTTTATTCCCTCGACTTCCAGAAACGCACTCTCTATCTCTCGCGGGCATTCCTTTTCGACTTACATTAGTCGTAGGGGCTGGAATGCGCGTTAATAAGAAGCCAGGAGGGGATGAAATTTTTCGCGTCCACGTATAATTAAATACTTCCCGTGTACAGCGGAGGATGTGCAGAAAGTACATCTGCTGCTATTTCCTTTCTTTTTAGCAATTAATTTTGCGTAGGGATGGGTACATTTTGTTATTTTCCATCGATACGTAAAGTTAGATTTAAAACGATACGTACGATGAAGAGATTTGAGGGGCTTATGTACAAGTTCATCGAGGGAGATGAAGGAAAAGAGGAAGAAGAGGAGAAAAAAAAAAAATGATGTGATCGATTACAGGAATTATTTGCGAAGAAGTCGTCATTTGGGGGACGAAGAGCGAGTGCCGGGATCGACTTCTCTTTTGGCTTCTTCGCCAAACAAGTCATTGGATCATCACGTCAACCAGACGGTCAATTGCACGATAACCCCGAGGGACATAATTTCGTTCGCCTGGCAAATTAGTAAGGGAATGGCTTACCTGGCGGAAATAAAGGTGAAACTTTTTTTTTTGTTTTTCACTTGAACCGGAAATGAAAAAATGTAATTTTACGTCAGAGTAATGCCATGTATTTGGGTGCGCATGTATCAGTTGGTTCATCGAGATTTGGCTGCGAGAAACGTCTTGCTGGCAACGGGAAAAGTTTGTAAGATATCGGACTTTGGCTTGACGCGCGATGTCTACGAAGATGACGCTTACTTAAAGCGGAGCAAGGGAAGAGGTAAATAATAACATTTCATTGCAAACGTTAAAAAAAAAAAAAAAAATTTTTTTTCTATATGTAACCTATCACTACGGAGGTACTCCTTGTTTCGAATAAATACAACATATTGGCGACGAAAGAGCATTTTGTATTTAATAATTGTCTAATTAATTAACAAAATTTTGACTATAACCTGTAGTATTTCGGGCGAAAAGCTCGATAATATCGACAAGCCAACAAAGTTGATAACGCGATTACCGAAGAAAAGTGTATACGTAACGTGGGCTAATGGGTGGCGGAACTAGGTTGAACCGCCGTCAAAAAAAAAAAAAAAAAAAAAAAAAAATTTTGACATTGATGGCTCGTACCCGCAGTGCCCGTAAAATGGATGGCACCGGAATCCCTGGCCGATCACGTCTACACGAGCAAGTCCGACGTTTGGAGCTTCGGTGTGCTTCTCTGGGAGCTCGTCACTCTCGGCGCATCGCCCTATCCAGGCGTCGATGTGCACAACCTTTACAATCTCCTCAAGGCCGGTTATCGCATGGAAAAGCCCAAAAACTGCTCCAATCAACTGTAAGTGCTCGATTTTGTGCATTTTCACCACGACGATACTCGTCGAATAAAAACTTCTTAGGTGCATTACATATAGACCCTATGGTAACGTTGATTTTTATACGGTTAAGCTCTATAAAAATCGATTGCGACACCATTTAGTGCACGCCTTGTAAAACCAATCGATGACACTGTCTCGTGTCGGTTAATTGAATGGCTAAGTGCTAACGGTACATGTTTTGAAACTGCAGTAAAAAATGTGTACGTGAAAAGACAAAATGTTATACGGTATACATATCTGACGATAACAACAACAATCAAATGTGTTCTAAAGCATCTCATAATGCGGTAACTTTTTGTTATTGACAAAAAACAACGATTGAAAATGTAAAAAATGATTCTTTTTCGCGAGTGGGTGTCGGTTGTACACGCGAGCTGGATGGGATTGATGGCCGTTAAATTAAAAAAAAAAAAAAAAAAAAAATCGTACACCTGGTTGCAGGTACAAACTAATGGTCTCCTGCTGGCACGAGGAGCCAGGAATGAGGCCGTCGTTCAAGGAGCTCGCCAACCACTGGGAACGCATGCTCGAGGACGCTGTCGAATACCTCGACCTCAATCCCCGGACCGTTCATAATCAAGCGTACTTTACGACGCTCCACGCCCTGGACAGTCCCAGTGAGTATATTAATGTCTCTCTCTCTCCTACGCAACGTGTCTTGTCTTTATTAACAAAGGACTTTTATTCTCTCGGTGGTGGCGTTACTACCGCGCTATACAATTTGCAATATTTTCCTTAGCAATATACCTCAATAATGGCACTTTTTTTTAAAAATGATTGTACACGCGATATTATACGAGAGGCGAAGGATGAATTAGCTGTGAAACCTCGTTTCCATCGATAAAAAAGTCGTCGTGTGTATTCCAGACTCGAGCGGCGAATCGACCCGCGACGTTGTGAGCTACGCCCTGGTGAGCTCGGCGATGGCCAACAGCGGCGTCAACTACATGAGCCGGCCGTCGTTCGAGCAGCCCTCGAAGCCCGACCAGGTCGACAAACTCGAGGCCCTGTGGCACGAGCCTCTAAACACGAGTTTCGCGGACAGCGGCGTCGAGGAGGACTCAGCGACGCGCTCGACCTACGTCAACGAGGCCGCCTCGGAAGCGTACCGGCAGCGCCGGGATATCGATCACTACGAGGTGCCGATCAAGATGAGGCGCCAGACGAGCAGCAGCGACAACGAGCTCGCCTCGTCGATGAGCTCGGGGGGTGGTAGGCCGCAGTCGTACATCGACATGCAACCCGGAGGTAGCGGCAAACTCGACGATCTCCTCATGTCCTTTGGGAGCTCGGATAACAAGGACGAATCGGCCTTGAACGACTTTGACGCTTGAGCCTTTTTTTCATCCAATCCAACTCGCACATAATATATACGTCTGTTTACGAGGAATCTGGAAGAACACTGTACTAGTGTTTCAACATTAATGGGAGTCAAGTATTTAGTACATCCATATGCGCAACTGTATAAGGATACATTTATATGTGTACAGGCCAACAATGTAACGATACTTACGGCAAATGTGGACCCAAGTGATGTTCCATGCACATGTACTTCTGCGGGAAGATTTTATAAGAACTTGGGCATTGTACTTTTGATCATCTCGGTGTGATGACTGGAATAGTCTTCATTGTACATATATTCGTTCGAAGGTATAGAGTAAGAAGAGCGTTTTTTTTTTTTTTTTTTTTATATATATTTGTCAAGGTGTGAAATGAATGACAAAAAGTTGCGAGAGAAATGGTGGTGATCTTATTCTAACGGGAGGTATCCATTTGCGAGAAAATTTGTCTTCTCTTGTTTTCCCAACAGCAAAATTATACCGTAGTTAATCTATTCTCACGAAAAAAAACTATAATGACTGTACTGGGAAAAATACGGTTCTTACTATTTTGTTTACTAGTCAATGATCTAATGAAAATAAATTAAAGTAGAAAAAGGGCTAAAGGTGTATAATATTAAGCGAATACGTGTAAAAGCTAAACTTAAATTTTTGGCTAATACTTGATCAAAACAATTTTTCATTGAAATTTCGCTTTGATATTTAAAAAGTGTGAATTTTCGTGATGGAAAATTCATATTTTAATATTGAGTTCCTATGATTTAATTCTGATTACGTATATAACAAAGTCTGGCGTGTCTAAATAATATGTGACACGACAATAAAATTTTTATTTATAATCTTAGAGATATGTTTTACTGAAAAATTCTTTGCAATATAGAACATTTGAACATGGAAATTTTTTAAGTTTGCTCTACAATAATTCAGAGAGGTTATTAAAAATAAAAATAAAACTTTTAACAAAAAAAAAATTTTTTTTCATTTAATAAGAGTACAAGCTATTTCAATATCTTTCGTCATTTTTTTTTTTATCGATAAACCGTAGAAAAATTTTGTAAATATTTTAATAAAATGTTGAAATAACGTTAATGTATTTCTGTATTTATTCTAATTAAACAGTTATAAAAATGAAATTGATATGGAAATGTGGACCAGGCAATAGATAAAGTAAAACAACACTATTCATGTAAAACACAAAAGTGTTTGTGTAAAAGAAAAATGAATTGAATATGTGAAAGATTACATACAGTACGAATAATTATACTTCACCAAAGAGCTATATATTGTAAAATAGAGAATATTTTAATACAAATACTGAGCCATGTTTTTTTCATAAATATTGTAGACTACAAGATTGATTGCAGCAAAGCATCTGATACATTAGTTTTAAAAACTTTAGTTAAAATTATTTGTGTATGTAAATAAAACTATGCTATTAAGAAAAAATAAGAATATTGTTTGTGTGGAAAACTATGATGCATTAATCGATTGTTTGAAAATAATCTGCGTACATTTTATAAGCATTTCTTCGATAAAAATATTTCTTCTGTGATGATTGTAAATATAAGAATACATGTACTTGATCTTAGTTAGCTTGATTATAAATATTAAAAATTTTTTGTGTATTTTATTTGAAATTTTATATTTTGTTTTTACACATTTTTTATGATTTTATCGAGAATCGTTTCATACTAAGGAAATATATGAATATGTATACTGAACGATATTGTTTGATTTATGATACTGTTCTACATTTTGTAGACTCCAATATTTTATAATTCAGATCTCAATAAAAGTAAATTCATAAAATAATTTGTCATTGTTTATGTGTATATATATTTTTTATAATCTATGAATCTATTGAACGAAATCACTGGGAAAAATTTTCATTTCGTTAAAAAAATACATACGTGAGAAAAGAGTATAAAACAATTGAGATTTGCCAAGTTCGTTGTACTTAGTAGTGTAAAATTCACGGAATATAATTTACTTAATAGACATTAATAATTTGTTAAAAATTTTTTTTAGTTTAGATACGCAATTATAAGCATAAAATTATAAATGTCTACATTAATATCTTGGTTACTGCATTCTTTGAATAACATTTATATGAAATTCGGTGTTTTAAAATACAAGTAGTTTTGAGTTGATTAGCAGTGTTATATTTCAAGTCATCTTTTTGATTGTCGTAAGTATTATACTTAAGCATTTCAATCGAATTAAAATAATTAAGCTTATACATAAACAAGTAAAATAAATTTCTAATATGTGAGTCATGTTTATCAATAGAAAAGATAATGTTAAAAAATTATTTCAACATAATAAAAAAATTTCTTAAAGTTGAAACTTACCTTCTTAAGTTAAAACAATTTTTTTACTTACCCAAAAGTGTGGAAGTAGTACCAGCTTTTTAACATATAATTTTTTTAGATCATAAAAAGAAATACTCAAAATTTTTATCATGTTTCCATTTTTCATTTATTGTACAAAGAAATAATTATGTAGAGTTATTTAAAAAAACACTACACAACTTTTGATGATTTTACTAAAATTTTTCTGTAGGAACATTAAATAGATAACTTGTATAAATCTTTTTTCTTAAAAAAAATATATTAACCAACCATACTCTAGAATATTTTACCTAACCATTTTTAAGTGATTTCTCTAACCTTTCTAATTTAATTTGATCACGAGATATAAATGTTGTTACAGAGATGTACATATTTCAAATAAAAAATATGCTTATGTGATTAAAATATGACTCAGTGCACATATATATATATATAAAATAAATTAATCAAGCAAACTCGTTCACTTAACTTTATTACAAAAGTAAAAAGTGCCATAAACTAAATTTTTAAATACAAAAAAATATCTATATATTTAAATAAATAATTCTAATAAAATACATTGGATGTACGTATGATTCATAAAAGTAAAAACCGTAATAAATTGATATTTTTAAATTAAACGTAAACAAATTTACAAATTCAGGGTATCAATACGAAAACCAGAGCTACTGATTGTTGGGTTAAATACCGTTGTAGAAGCTTCACTATCATTTTCGCCAAGTAAATTCAATTCTTCAATGTTTGTCCTGAATCGCTTGGGGGACGTTGTATCAGGAGCTGCATCATCATAATTAATTTCAAATTCCTTTTTGTGGATCGTTTCTGAACTTACAGTCTTTTCTTTTATTTTTGAATACTCATAGTCTTCTTCAAAGTGATGAAAATAAAAATTTTACATTATGCATTGTTTTAAAGAAAATTATTTGATTATTGTCAACTACCTTTTATGTCAGTCGTTTCGAAATTTTTTTGAACATCAATCGGCAACGTCATTTGAGCCCATTTGACAGAATTTTCAAATTCAGCTGGATGAACTCCACAGAAAGGCACAAAGTCAGCGTCATAAATCGCTCTAACTAGCTTGCGTAGATCATCTGGCATCGAAAAACGCTTGAAGTGACGCGCATCCTTCGGAACATCGTTGGGGTCACAATATGGAAATTCAATTACGTAATACTTTTTGTTATGATGTGGATAGTTCTCCTTGATTAATCGTAAGGCTTGACTGTCCATATTTCGATACACGACTTGTGCGATTTCGTTTGTTTTCGGTGAAGTAGCCACGATTACCACATCCGCGCTATGGAATGCGTCGTTACACCAAAGCACGGGATCCTTCATATGTATATCACATTAGTTTTCATTACATAATATAAATAATATGAAACGAAAATCATGTTAACACCTTATGTGTGGTTTCAGGAATGTCTAGAGTATCAATCATTGCATCAATGTTAGAACCTCGCAAATATTTGGCCAATTCGACCATAGTATACACATGTGACATATGCGTTGGAGAATAAATTAAAAGGCACTTGAGTTTTCTTAATGTTCGTGATTTCAGAAATTCTATAAGAAAATTTTGATTATAAATTTTACGTTATTTAAATAAAATTTTCATATTTAATTTTAAATTAAATTACTCTTACCTTTTTTTTTATATAATTTGTAAGCGTTATACATAGCATACAATATCACTGGAGGAATCCAGACTACACTGATTATCATAATAAGTATCTTGTTTGATTCTTGTTGCTCTAAAAAATTTTAATTCATCATAAAAGTAATATTGATTAACATAAAATTTTTTAACGAAAGTATTTTTTTTTTATACTTACTAATGTTTATAAAAGGTGAAGTGCTGTTAACACAGCCATATTCACGACAAATTGGATGGAGAGCAGTGACTTTGAAATAATATGTACCTTTCTCAACTGGAAAACTGTAACGAATCTGATCATGACCTTCAAGTTTNTGATTATTAACAAAATTAATGCTTAACTGTAATATAAAATAGTTGAAGAAAAAAAACTTTAAATTTTGATATACTCTAAGCACTTGTGTTGATCGTTCTGATATTGTTGCCAAAATATTTTTTACATAATATATAAATATTTTTTATAATTATCTAATCATTTTTATGTTAAACAATTTTCTAAGGTTCTAACAGCTGTTAGTATTACCTATGTATCTGTGATTGGGAACTATGAACACAAGCTTCCTGCTGTATTCGTAATTTTTCGAAGAAATCAAATATTCTAATCTGTATTGGCTGTTTTCAAACGATCTATTTGAAAATGGACAAGATACATAAAAAAAATTCGGTGCCTCTGTGTGAAGCTTCCTACTGAATTCTACATGCCGACAAGCGGATTCTTCACCTCCCAAACTTTGATAACGAGTTACTAATTCTGTAACAAGTCAGTATTTATGATAAAATAAATGCCAATTCAAAAATAATCGATTAAATATACTTGGATCGTAATTACTTACTATCAAAATTAATATTAGCGATAGAAAAATTGAATGCTGTTGTTTTTATATTAAGTTCCTCGAAATCCGTTACGTATGCTGTTAGTTTAACTTTAGCTAGAGGTTGTCCAGGAGGAGGAGCATGTCCCATATGTTCAAACTTTAAATCTTTACAGTCTAAAATAAATTTATATTATTGTAGATGTAGTTACAATTACAATGATACAGTTAAAGAGGAATCCAGACTACACTGATTATCATAATAAGTATCTTGTTTGATTCTTGTTGCTCTAAAAAATTTTAATTCATCATAAAAGTAATATTGATTAACATAAAATTTTTTAACGAAAGTATTTTTTTTTTATACTTACTAATGTTTATAAAAGGTGAAGTGCTGTTAACACAGCCATATTCACGACAAATTGGATGGAGAGCAGTGACTTTGAAATAATATGTACCTTTCTCAACTGGAAAACTGTAACGAATCTGATCATGACCTTCAAGTTTTTCCACTGTAACTTCTTTTACGTTTTCAAGATTTTCTTTATTCAGCATCCAAATTTTATACTTGGATATATCAAACTTTTCTGGTAGAAGTTGAATATACACTGTTAAGATCGATCCATCAGATACATCAACATATATAAATGGAGTGTACAGAGAAACATCTCTAACAACAGTATCTAAAATTAAAGTAACTTATTAATATTTTTTCTAATACTATCTACATGTATCATGTGACCCTTCCGTATTATTAATACTTAAATTATGACTAGTATAAAACTAATTTTTATCTTGTTTTTTTTTTTTTGTGAAAACGATCACTATACGATCGAAGTATTTTTATATTTATACATGTTTAATACTTCATTCTAATCTGATATTTGTATGCATACATGCACTGAGATAAGAAATAATAGTTACTATGTTAAAATGTTAATCTTGTATTTTTTTATAATTAAAAGACTTTTTACTGCTTGCATATTAGTAGATTAGTTCGATTAAGGTGTTTAGAGCGCTCCGAGCGACCCAAGAGTCATTGAGGTGTATAGCTGTATATATGTCCAAGACTGTAAACATACGTTTACGCCTCAATTGTCGAACAAATCTGATTTTTACTTTTATAAACAGTAATTTTAATTATAAGATGATTGTTTATTACTGTTTACTTATGACACTGTCCCGCATGGTAGAAATTATTATGCTAAAAGTAAAAAGTTTCTAGACGGCGGATTAATGTACAGTAATGTTTCTCAATTTTAGGCACGACCAATGTATTGGACAGTCTTATATATATTTGTCAGAGCAAAAAGTATAACCATTTTAAAATCACCTTTTTTTTATACGAAACAAATTTAAGTATAATAGTTATCTGAGTTAGTCACATGGTGTATGTATGTATGTAATCAAGTTTTTCAACTAACTCAAGTAATTCTTATCCAAATAGGCTCAAATTTTGTAGGTAACTTCAAGTTTAATGTCAAAGCTGATGTATTACATTTGGAAAATTTTTATAAGAGAAAAAAATTTTGTCAACATTTTTACTACGGCACTCAAGGATAAAAAATAGGTTTTTTGGCTCTAAGTTTTAACACATACATTTGACACTTTTGTGTTCAACAATAACGTTGTAGATCACAATAAAATATAACTTTTTTATATTACACATTCTACTGTCAAGTACAGCAGATGCTCTGTAATGCAAAATAGATGTGAAAACAGCGAAAAAATCGTTTTTTACACGTGATTAGATGACATTCGATCCCTACAAAAAAGTGTTAAGTACAAACGTTGTAAAGATTACTAAAATGAAAGTTCTTTGTGTTGTAAGTTTATCTCTATGGCGCAGTCTTAATGGTTTTAATAGTAAAAATTGTTTAAAAACGGCTTAAAAATCGTTTTACAGCATCTAACTTTTTTACATTACATTTGTAGCTAAAATTTTAAATGTAAAAATTTGTAGATCCTACAAAAATATACCTTTTTTTAATTATTTATCATTTTTGTTAATATTGCCATCCTCACACTTTAAACAAAAAGTGCCTTCAGTATCATCCTTGTACAAAATGCAACAAAAAGCATTTTAAAACGTCGAACAAATTGATTTGTAAAAAGTAACATTATTTTATTATCTAACATTAGGTAAAAAAATATGATTTAAAATAAAATCCTACAGTTAAAACCCTTCTGCTCTGGTAAACTGTGGATTAGTTGTACCTTAAATGCAAGACTTACAGTTTTCCATAAATTAAGCCCTTCGTTTTCTTTTAACATTACATTACAGACTAATATGTAACACATGTAAGTTTAGGTCATTCTTTACAAGTATTTACAGATTTTCATGTTAAAAATAATTTTCTTACAAAAACGTTGAAATATGAAATATAATTTTCTTAAAATAATTTTAAGGATACGTTGCTTATGGTATTTTGGTACATTAGCTAATGATGATTAATGATTATTAACAAAATTAATGCTTAACTGTAATATAAAATAGTTGAAGAAAAAAAACTTTAAATTTTGATATACTCTAAGCACTTGTGTTGATCGTTCTGATATTGTTGCCAAAATATTTTTTACATAATATATAAATATTTTTTATAATTATCTAATCATTTTTATGTTAAACAATTTTCTAAGGTTCTAACAGCTGTTAGTATTACCTATGTATCTGTGATTGGGAACTATGAACACAAGCTTCCTGCTGTATTCGTAATTTTTCGAAGAAATCAAATATTCTAATCTGTATTGGCTGTTTTCAAACGATCTATTTGAAAATGGACAAGATACATAAAAAAAATTCGGTGCCTCTGTGTGAAGCTTCCTACTGAATTCTACATGCCGACAAGCGGATTCTTCACCTCCCAAACTTTGATAACGAGTTACTAATTCTGTAACAAGTCAGTATTTATGATAAAATAAATGCCAATTCAAAAATAATCGATTAAATATACTTGGATCGTAATTACTTACTATCAAAATTAATATTAGCGATAGAAAAATTGAATGCTGTTGTTTTTATATTAAGTTCCTCGAAATCCGTTACGTATGCTGTTAGTTTAACTTTAGCTAGAGGTTGTCCAGGAGGAGGAGCATGTCCCATATGTTCAAACTTTAAATCTTTACAGTCTAAAATAAATTTATATTATTGTAGATGTAGTTACAATTACAATGATACAGTTAAACTCGCCGTAGACCATACCTTCTCCTCTTTTGACTGGTTCAATGGAACACAGATTATCGCTTTCTATTGGTAAAAATGTCTGTAATTTAATTAAATACTCATAATTATTACAATTTATATTTTTAACAAATTATTTACTATTGATTTCTGATGAAAACGTTAGAAATAAATATAATTAACAGGACAATATATTGGAGAACATTAAAAAAGAAAAAAAAAAAAAAAATGAAGGTAGTTAAAACATTTAAGTAACAGAATATCAGAAACCCTGTGTTTTGCAGAAAATAATATTTAATTACTAAAGAAAACTCACAAAATTCTTGCAATAATCTGGATAGCAATGAAATGCAAAAACATCCTCAGCTACAACGCTCAAAAGTGCAAAAAGTATAGATTTGTACATTTTGAGGTTATCATAAACAACACACAAAGAACATCAATACTTTTTTATGACACTATCAAAGACGGAGTCGGCATTTCGAACCTTCCAACTGATTGACAAAATAATATATTACTTCCTTCGCGATCGTTTCATTTCACAAGATGCAAATATCGAACGAAAATCACGTTCGTGTAAGATGATCATAACTATAAGCGAACCAAAACAGAAAACACATATACGCAGTTAGCATCTCTTGTAGCGTACATAGTGTGAGTTGACTGTTCAGCAGCTGCGCTAAATGTATACTTGCGAGCGAAGGAGAGAAAGAGATGGACATGATGTACTTATACAAGTAGGTATAAAAGAAATGGTCAAATGATCTGAGATGACGGTACATCGACGGTTCAGCAGGAGAGAGAAAGTTGTCCCCTCTGTTTATATGCATTCGTATTTACGTTGTATCCATGACTTCAAAGAGATCCCGTTTCAGGTGTACATAGATTTACTATACTTATAATTTTATATGTAGTCGTGGCTTCTCATTGAATGCGCAAAATCCTTACCAATCGTACTAGGTCTTTTTTTTTTTTTTGCAAAAACAGTATTTATTTTGCTAGTTTTATATGCATGTTAATCAGTAACAATAAGTACTGCGATGTTAGACAATAACTCAGGAACAAAAATTGGAAAATTCAACAATTTTCACTATTCAAAATGTGATACTAAACACATTTAGTGTCATAATTTACATTTATAATTTATTTGAGAAAAATATATTCATTTATAATGCTCTGTAAAAACATTTTTTGAATGAGATATTTAGTCGAGTTTTTAAAGGTGTGTATAATAAAATTCATAACTTTGTATTTTTTAAACTTCGCCAGAACCATTTTGAATGAAAATACATCAACAATAAACACAAATTTCTAATACTACTTAATTTATTTGACGTGTAAAGGAAGCAACTCATAAAAAATGTTTACGTAGTGACTAATATAAAACTCAATAAATTTTTAAGTTTATCTACATTATTGATTGGTGAGCTACATAACTACAGGATATAAATTAAAAAGCAATATTCCTACAAGGAAATGGACACTACTTCCTCCACTAACAGTTTAGTATATTATTTTATTGAATCTCATAATTTTATAACTTAAAAAAATATGACATAGAATTTTAAAAACAATAGTCTTTTTCTAAATTTTAAGTAATTAATATTAAAAGTGTTAAACTACACAGTTTTTTTTTTAAACTAGAAAATTTATACTTTAACTTTATGGGTATATAATTAACTATAATTAATTTACACATGAAGTAGTATAATTGTTGGTGACTAATGCTTGAGAATTTCTCACAGACTTTTTAGAATCATAATAAATCATTAAACTCAACGTATCAGATGCACTTAAATGCACTCATTTATTTTTTTTCTCATAAAAAATATTCATTAGTGAATTTCTTTACCTAGGTATTAGTATTTTAGTATTTTTTTTAATAAATGCGCATAATTTAATCAAAATTAAGTGCGTAAAAAAACCAACCCCAACATTTTTCAAATGAAAACTTGCATCAGGTTTACTTAACGTCGTAATATACAATTTATTTTTTTCCATCACATCTAAAAATGATCATTTAATGTACATGAATTTACAAAGTTTGTGACATATATATATATATGGATTATCAGTTAGATTGATATATTCTTAGCAAGCAAGTTAGCACATGAAGGTTAGTTATAAGAGTAAATAAAAGAAAACATGCATCATTTTTCTCTCTTATGCTTTGTCCAACCAGAAATTAAATTTATTTGCTTGATTTTCAAGGTTTTTGTTTTTTAATACATATTTGTTTAAATAATCTCTATTCATTTACTAAAAATGTATTATTTTAACATCTCTTTTTCCGTTAAAAAAAAAAAAATTTTATTTTCAAGTTATATTTATAATTATAGGTATATTAACTGGGAAAACGTACATGTGTCCATTACGTTCCATAATGATTTCAACATCCTTATTAAAGTATTTTTATTTTAGTTGTTATGCAGCATCCTAATGACAGGAGATTACCGAGACGTTGACATACTATATTCGTCAATACAAACAATAAACAGTGATGCTTCAAAGCCAAATTTAGTCTTTTTTAATAATAATAATAATAATAATAATTATTAGCAAGTGCTAAGGTATTTTCCTTGTTCATGTGTACTATTTTTTCAGTATAATATTTAATATTGTTATAGTTTTTTATTTAATTATTTATCTAAAATTTATAACGACACGTAAGATAAACAAACAAATTGCAAGGAAACTACTTTTGATTCGGATTAAAGTTTTTTTCCAGCGTCTTCCAACACTTGTAGTAATTCGAATCAAGTTTATTGCAGATGGTAGATGCCCACTCGGTGACGGCGAGACCGTAATACGTCTCAAACATGAAGGCCTGGGTACCATCGGCAATACGCTCAGAGCGCAGCTCGGCAGCTGAAGCAGCCTTGAAGGAATTCGCGTCTGGCCCGTGAGGTGTCATGCACGAGTGCAGGCTGCCACCACCTGGTTGGAAACCCTCGGCCTTTGCCTCGTAATGGCCCTTGATCAAACCCATGAATTCGCTCATACAATTTCCTAAATGATAATAAATCAAGCGTTAGTTTTTATCTCAATAAATCATCATGAGCATTGAGACGTCAAGTTATTAAACAATACTTGGTCATTCGCACCTTTTTTATTTTGCAAAGTCTTTAATATTAATAAAAAATAGTATATAATAAAACAACTATATTTATAACATGTGTGGTAAAACGTTTAATGAATTTTTTATTTTTTTATTTTTTGTAGACTTATAATATTATATTCATTGTATTTAATGAAAAAAAAAAGTTTTAATTTAATTTATTTTAGAGGCAAATTAATTAATGTTAAAACATTTTCATTGATATTTTTTCTAATTTACTATCCGTCAGTAATTTTTTTAATTGTTTCAAAAGTGGTATTCTTTATTGTATCCATATTATTATATTTAACACTTTTTATACGCTATGTGTATTAGTTGTAAACTCAAGCATAGTACGCACAGCGAATGTAAAGTACCAGTGACATGTTTATAATCTGAATGTAATATATATTTCTTCGTTACGTATTATCTAAAGCATAAGTTATAAAATTGTTTTGTATCTTCAGGAGGTTGATCTTTTATTATTTATTCGATTAAATAAGCGAACATTTTACTTCTTACGAAGAAAAGGGTTAAATAATAAAAAACTAGTGATAATTACTTACTGTGGTAATACGGAGGACGGAATGTATGTTCTTGAACGGACCAACGAGGAGGGAAAATAACAAAGTCAGCTATTGCCGTTCCTGGTCTGTTCGATGGGCAAGTCAAGACAGTAAAAATAGAAGGATCCTATAAATATGATGTCATAAATAAAATTTACATACATGGTTGTGTTAAAACGCTAATCTTTAGATAAAAAATTTCAAATAACACGTAAATTAATCAAATTAAAATTGATTGATTGATATATTGTACAGCGTTTTTTGGCTTTTATTTTTGAGAAAATACCATGAATAATTATATACTTCGAAGAAATTTTAAATATTTATTTTTCACTCATATTAGCTTATACTTTATGAAAACGAGAAGAGTCTACTTGTCATCGTGAGCAGCTTCAATACCGGTAATACTGGAATGTTTGTCATACATTACAAGCGACACTTACGCAGTGATCGAACGAAACCGAGTTGATGACCATGAAATTATCAAGATTGTACTTGTAGGGAACGTAATTTCCGTGCCAAGCAACTACGTCAAAAGGACTGTGATCCTGATTTGCTAAAAATAATTTTCCTTGGTATTTGTTGATTATTTTGTAAAGTACATCGCGATCCTCGTACCATGCCACTGGAGTCTGGAAATCTCTTGGATTGGCTAGTCCATTTGCACCTTTTCCCACACACACATTAAATTTTATTATTTAAATTGTTACTTCAACTGTTGAAACTATTTACCGATTGGTCCCAGCTGCGGTAATTGAAAGTGATTGTCGAAAACTTCCAAAATGTACCCCCTTGACGGTCCAAAAACAGTGACAGAAAATCGCATTCCTCGCTGAATGACGCAAATTTCATTCGGTTCTACTCGCATTTTTCCAAACTCTGTGGTAATGTTCAAAGGTCCTAATTGTGGCACTAGAATGGAAAAAAATTTTTGTTAATATTTTTAGAAAACATATAAATAATAAGCTACTTTTTTCATCAAAGTAATTATAATAATTTGTTTTATCACATCGAGTTTACCTCAATCGGATACCAGTTTTGTATTTTGTAAAGCGGAAGCTAAAATTTTTATGACTTCACAAGTCCAACTCATTTTAAAGTCGTTCGTTTGGCTGCTGTAGAGCACCACTCTCCGATCCACTACAATCATCCACTTCTTCCCTCACTATGGCACCGCCGGTTCTAGCCCACTGAACAGGAATACTTTGAATAAATAATATTTTATTAACAGTCAAAGACCAGCCGAAAAATTTTTTATTATAACTCACTGATCTAAGCTGCAACATCTGTGAATTACAGCCCAATTGGTTGATAAACAATATTTTTTTCAATTATAAAAAACAGATCATCATAATTATTATGATAGAAAGTAATTATTTATTTTCAAAACATGGCGTAAAATTTTTCACCAATTCTTTCAGCTGCTCTTAAACACTGGAAAGTCATATTTTTTATTAACATAATTACTGAAAAATTTTGAAAATGTATGGACCACAGATATAATGAACAAATTTAAGTTGATTTTAAAANTTTACGTGACGAATAAAAGAATTAAAATAGGAAAATATTAATAATCTTATATTGCTTACGTTTTAACTTTAGAAATAATGGAAAAATATATATGTACAACTTAAAATTGGTAGTATTATTTGATAAAACTATTGTCCAAAAATTACTTTTAAGTGACCACATCAGCGAGTATCTATACTTATAAAAATAGAGCCTTCTATCTTACTCTCGAAATTGATAAAATATCCTCATCCTTATTCGATACCAAAACGGTAAGGAGGAAAACTTGGACTTGAGCCAACGTACAATTTAGTGGTGGTAAGGGTATATACCAATCTAGAGTTAAAATCGTCTACGCAAGTTCAGATCCACATATAGTGAGCGACTCACCAATAAGGAAGTCACCATCCGAGTTGTAAAAGGCCTTATCTTTCATCGAGGCGTTGCAGAGATAGACGTGGATCACGAGGCCGGAACGACAGCGCGAGTCCCCGGCTCCGCAGATCGTGTGCAGGCCCTCGACAAAGTCCACTTCCGGCTCCTGACGAGTCGGCACGTCGAACGGCCGCCAGCGCAACTGTGATTTTTTTTTTATTCCTTTATTTATTTATTTTTTCCCCTCCCTTCTCTTTCTATTTAATCGGAGGACTAATGAAAGGATCCGTACGCGTGATGCACTCGTCAAGTATGTTTGTTGGTAAGTGAGTAGTTCCAAGGGAAGAAATAATTGAGACTGGACGTGCAAGGGAGTGCATGCTTATTGTCTTATTAATTGTGTTTTTGGAGATTTTGCATCGATCATTGTTTTTTTTTAATTTCTCGCTTTAACCAAATCATATTTTTTATTGTATTTGTATCATCAAAGTCCTTTGAGTTATCTTTCATGTAATAAACTTACTTGATTAGGATTCGGTGAAATTTTTCCCCAATCATGGGTCAAATGGACCGACACGCCATTCAACGGTTCAAAAACGTCATGGCAAACCGATGGTTTGATTCGGTAAAACCAGGTCCTTTTGTTTTCATCTCGAGGTGCTGGATTTAATAATAATTAATTTTAGTTAGAATAATGAATCTTATTGAAGAATAATCTAAGAGTCCAGATTATATACAAATTACTATAAATAATTTTAATTTTTTCTAGAGTGAACGCCTTGAGTCCTAAAAATGATTGTATCACGTATAATACTCATAATAATATAGCTATCTTTAACAATAAAAAATTTGAAAAAGACATGTACTTGATTTTAGCGAAGGAAACCAACAAATCTTTTAATGTTGCACGTGAGTACGTAAATATGAGTCTCGATAAATTAAATTAACATTAAAAATTTTGAAGTACATTACCAATTTAAAAATTTGAAAGCTCAATGGCAAAACAAGCTAATTCTGTTGCATGAATTACCATAACATCTGGTATGGCCAATGTTTAAAATTCACATAAAATTCAAGCTTCAATGTACCGGTGTACCACCATAAATTTCAAACAAACTTTCTATTTGTCAAAGTAAGGAAATCAGTGTAATTTGTTTTACATACCTGTAAAGGCTGTGCCCGATAGTTGCTCCGCGTACAGTCCGTATGGACATTTTTGTGGCGAGTTTTGCCCCTCGGGCAGTGCACCAGGACACCGTTCGTCCTCACTGCTGAATTCATTACCAAAACCCGTCAAATACTGAAATCATCAAATGGAATTTTCGGTACAATTTAACACGAAATAATGAGATCCTCAACATCATAAAATAACAACCGGATAAAACATGACAAAAACTGTCCGCGCAAAACTAAATAACTTTTTAGTTATCTAATTGTATAGCCCTCGAGTTTGTATATATACTGCAGATTTGGCCGAATGTATATTTTTACTTTTCACACTGTACGGTCACCACATGCATTAAGAACACATCACTTATCCTCAAACTACAAACGAGCAATGCCAACAAAAAGTCCGACTCCGCGATAGGAAAAAAATAATAACAAATAACAAACAAAGAAGCCTTTGCGAGGTTCCGTTGTCAGTTGAGCGCACCTTAAGTTCGTCCTTCATCGTAGCTGGTGAGTTTTTCTGGAAATACTTGGGCGCCGGAGTGATCGGGCCGGTTTTATATAATGCCGGAGCCCGATTGGAAATTATGCAAACGATGTTTACGGCGACGGATTCTTCTGGAGGACCAATCGGAGCACTGGGCTTTCGTAGGCTTGACGACTGGTTTGCCCGCCGGGAGCACGTAACTGCTGGCTGATAGCGGAGGCTCGTTTCTCCTTTGCCTGTCGGAGGTGTGTTTTTACATTTGCTCGTTAGCGTGTGTCGCGCGACTCGATAAAAATGTGTGCAGTCACTTTTTTTTCGTTTTTTTTTTTTTTTTTTTTTTTTTTTTTTCATCCTTGGAGCAATCCTTCAAGGATTTGGGTGTGGACTCGGTGATTCTCGTCTAACGCATTGTCTTATAATTCATTCCAACTCGGTTTCGCCGCAACGGTTCTGTAGCAGTCGGCTCAGGTGATTAAAGAGTACATCTTGATATTCATGCTTTCCAGGTGACACTCGAAGCTATGACGAATATTCCGTGATGTTGGTTGATTTTTTTTTTAAATCAATGTATCACGAATTGTGTTATCGTCTTGGCTGTATCAGACAAGTGTAATTTTACAGAGGAATGAAGGTTTGATGTCTGTTATCTTTAGACAATCTGCTAAAGAAACAAAAAAATATTTAACTGATGTATAATTTGTAAGAAAAGATTTTTGGCGTGTCTCAAAGTATAAAGATAAAACAATGGAGCCCGTACAATAAATTCGTTTCGAAGAGCTATTGTAATCACCCAGGCCCATCGACTTTTGTTTATTTGGCTGTCTAAATTTTAATAGCAATAGTATGGTTATCGAGATTAAGTACGTGAAATCCATGCAAGTAATATGAAAAACGAAACGTTGATGAACTTTGCTTTAGAAACTGATAAAAGTCTTATCAGTAATATAAATTACAGTTAAGCGGTGAGACTGAGCAGCATAGAGCTTTACGTGACGAATAAAAGAATTAAAATAGGAAAATATTAATAATCTTATATTGCTTACGTTTTAACTTTAGAAATAATGGAGTATTAAAGTATGTTAAGTATTCCAGCAGAAAATAATACCAAAGAGAAAAAAAAATTGCGTAAAAGTAAAAATAATAATAATTCTTGAAAATTTCGAAGATAAGAGTGTAAAAACTTTGTTTGGATAAACTTTATCTTGTCATACTTTGCTTGATGATCGTTTACATTAAAAAGTATAAAATAGGTCATATTATATTATATTTCCAACAAGAACATGTTGTTACAAATAATATCAATGATTACCTTCATAATATTTATTATATTAATTGCAATTTTGACAAATTACAGCAAAGATGTTTACATTTACTTGTTAATGAATTTGCATTAGTTATTAAACTTTAGATGCTTTGTTTTTCATGAATAACTTGGAGACAGCTTTTTCTACCAGTCGAGCCTCTTTGCACGGAGTATAAAAACGTTGCTTCAAAACCTGATTGACCGCACGGGCAAAAAAACCAAAGTTTTGCATCTGAGTAACGTGCGTTTTTCCTTTACTAACCGATCCTTCAAATAAATTAAAAAGTTGTTTACATTAAGCTGGTGCAAAAACTACACTATTCAGTCATTCAAACTGTTTCAAAGTGTTGTTTCAACAATTTTCTTTGAAAAAAACGTTTGGCTGTCCGTTGTACGATCTAAGAAGTAAAAATTGACTCTTTTTTTTTTCTACTTAAAAATAAAAAAATTGTTCTTTGCGCCGCGCGAACTCCATTACCAAACAAGTTGTGTTCATTGTGACACAAAAGTTGAACATAATGACGGTCGAGTAATCACTGGTGGCGCGTAACTGGTATTACATGCACGCCGGGTTTTTCGGAGGGATATCATTAGCCGGGAGTCTAATACACCGACAGAGATGCCCATTAATTTGCAATCAGCTGGTCACGATTGTTTCGCAGTTATATTTGTAATGGCACGGTAGCGCGGCGCGAGATCCTTGAACTCAACTTCCACTTGGCTGTTTTTTTTTTTTTTTTACTTAATAAATCGCTGGCGTATCATTTCGCTACTTTTTTTTTTTTTTTTTTTTTTTTTTTCACGACACCAATTTCACGTTGAAAACCTTGGGAAATTGTTTTTTTCTTTTTTCTTTAACGTATGCGATGTTTAAACAATATTTTCGCCACGTAGAACGTAGTGGTTTTAAAACAAACGTCGACTTGAAATGTCAAGCAAATTGATTAGATGTATGATGAAAATACGAAAACTGCGAACGAATGTTACGGGCAAATATTCCCCATGGCCGACACGAGCATCAGCATATCCGAGCATTAAAAACTAGTTTTACCGTTTTCTCCGCAACACATTGCGCCACGCGCACGCACATGCAACATAATTCCCATCGTAAATATTTATCGTGTGGTTGTAACGAATATCCATTCAAGCGCCACCGTAAATTCGTAATGAATCATCGCCGCGAGAGATTAAATTGTGTTTAGCAATTTTTAAAGCCCTCGATGAAAAAAAAGTACCGATTGGTATAACCGTTACACATTGACGCGCGTATCACTTTTTGTGGAAAGATATTATGTTTTTTGTTGCAAGATGTATAAACACGAACACGTTCGAGAAATGGAAAAAACAAAAAAAATTTTATTCTACCAATGCGTGTGCTTTGTAAGTGTCAGCCGATCATCGCAAACAAACAAGGATTCCGTTCGCAAACGCGTACTGCAAAGGGGGAAAAAAAAGGCATCGACACAAACGTGTAAGAAGAGAAAACAAGTGCACATATAAATGCAAAAGAAAAACCCACCGAGCCGTGGCCAGTCAAAAAGCAAAGAAGACAACGTACTTATGTATATATGCAACGTATACAAGTACAGTTAAGAGGCTGTCGAACGAGAAAATCCTTCCGAGTATATATTTATATAAGTAGGTACATATACACCGCGCGACGCACACGTGATATAATTATTGTGAGTGCGTCTCCGATGGCTCTTGTGACCTCTGCGGGTGATTGTCGTTCCCGCACAGTTATCCGGCTTGTATACAGAATACTTACCGATTGCACTCGAGATGACGTGACATTGCCAATTAACGTCCATGTGTATACTTACCGAAGTTGAGATGACACTCGCGTCCGTTTGGGAGAAAGCTGTAGAAACGCACATTCCTATATACTTATACACACTTGCGCAGGTGTCGCGCCCTCCTCTCGCTCGCTCGAATAGTTTCGAGATAGGGGCCCATGGGACTTTCACTGTACACTTAATGAGGAAATAGTTTTATTTTTTATCCCTCGTTTTGGCAGAGAAAAGAGTTGTTTTTTACTCAAAGACATTCTTATGTGTCATACTTGGCTTCGCATTTCATGGGCGCTCTTGCAGCTGCAGATGAGTATAGTTTTCTCGCACCTTCGATTAGGAACTGCGAAAGCTCAAAATTCCGAATTTCCCCGTCGATGGTATCCGCAGCACTCGCTCTTTATCCAATTTTTTTTTGTTCTGCACTCGCGCGCCCACACGCGTATGTGTATAAACATAAACGAGCGATTCAATAACCGGCAATTCAGCGCATTGATCTCGGAATCTATATACGCTTGCACGCGCGTTCGAATTAATCGACGCTCGCGTATGTAATTGTTGGCTCTCGGTGTACGGGGGAACCAAGCGGCTGCATGGAAACAGCTCGAGCGAAAGAAAAGTTGCGAAAGATGAAGTTTTCGATAAGCAGGTGATTTTCGTCGGGGCTATCAAACGCTCCTCGCGGTTAAGGTCTACTCGGTGCGTTTTATATGATTTGCCATTATACACGAGAAGTGGTCGGAAAAAACAAAGTGAGCTGTTTTTTCTATGTAATTACGGCTCTGGAGGTGAATTTATTTTATTGAGGAAACGCGAAAAGTCTCGGGCGTTTTCACCCGCAAAGGTGCCACTGTATATTTATCAAAGCGGACGATGCGCTTTTCCATGAAAATGTGAATCGGATTTCCGAACTGGATGGATGAGTGTGTATACACTATATACGCTGTGGAATCGGAGGAGGTGTTCGCGGTGTACTTACCCGATAATCGCCGCGGGTGAAAGTTTTCGAGAAACCGCAAATCCAGATTAATAATTGATGAGCGCCGAGAAAATTGAATGGAAAAATTATGTATTTTCGTATACGCGAGTCTGTTTATTATATCGGCACGTAGAGATTGCATAGAAAACGAAAGTGCAAATTGCGTTTGGTGTTGTGTGGAGGTATTGGGAAATTATTATGTATACGTTTATCGTTATCATTGAAATTTAGTGAATTCGTAAATTCATTCGACATGGAGGTGTGTGCTTTGTTTCCGTGACTAATGCACTAGAAATGAAAATACACCGTGTAGTGATAGATATGGGTGTATGAATGTTCTCGGGTAAGATTTAGCCGTGGGGCGTATTATCGGGTACAACATAGAAAGCAAGCAAAATTAGTAGACAAAGTTTGAGCCGTTTACGAGACGATTGGCCAAATAATTTATACATTATGATTATAACATGCATGATGATTTTATGATTAACGCGATAAAGAAAAAAAAAATTCTATATTTGAAGTCATACTTGAAAGTAAAAGTAAAGAAAATCTATTCTGCAATTCAAATTGATTGTTTAAACATTTACACAGTACTGCAAATCCATGGGCTACTATTTTTATAAATAATACAACACAGTGTTACGAACGAGATTGAGCTGTTAATTCGTAATTTATGATCCGTTAATATCCGTTTACCTTCTCCAGTGAGCGGCAGTGAAAGTTTTTATCGACAAACTGTAATTAGCGAGCGGTGCAGATCAGTTGGTTGGGTTTTTTTTTTCATTTGCAACTATTGCGAATGTATACATCCACACACAAAACTCCTGGAAAAGTTTTCTTTTATCCAATTTTATATTACTTTGGAGCTTATCTGTCCCAATGTAGCACCTGTATCGTCACTATGGATCTCCAAGTGTATAGATGCATACGGTACATGGTAATCTATGCAATGATACTCTTTAGACGTTGCGGTAAAAAAAATTATTTTAAAAATTCAAAAGATTTACCTCAAAAACCCATTTTTTTTTTTTGCAATTTGAAATATTTCAACTAACAGTCTCTGTGGAGGATAATTTTTAAAGTTTGTAAAAAAGATTTAAAAATCATCCCTTAAAATGTTTTCAAATTATTAGTTTAAAAAATACATTGTAATTTTGTTTTCATAACATTAATTTTAATTAAAGACTCATTAATTGTGGAAAAAAGCTCTTAGCAGTGTATTATGAATCATTAAAGAGAAAAAAAAATCTCCTAACATAGTATATGTTTAAACAAACCTCCAAGACGCCCACCGATTTCTATAAAATCTTCAAAATAACTGCAGAAGAAAAAGCCTCAAAAGAATTATCTTTTCGAGACTCGTGTTTTTCAAATATCTGGAAAAAAATGTCATTCCTCTTTCACGCGGGTAATTATATGCATTCCAGTTATGAACGCCCCAAAAAAAAACCCACAAGCCTCACAAGTGTCGTATCCAACGCGAGATAAGATTCCCATTCACCCGCAGCCACATGTGTTCAAACACCCCGCGTTTCCAGAGATACGCATCGAAACGTTAAAACGGCACTCACACAAAATGGCACTTTTTGTATACACACTCGTGGTCCAAGCCGATCGGCTCTGCATGGGTATAAAAATTGTCGAAAGGCCACCTCCTGTAGTACGCGAGGCTCCAAGCTTCGCTTCCTCCTCATCCTCGCGCGGCCGATCCGGTTTTTCGCGAGCCGAAGCTTAACGGTTTCGAGCTTCTTGCGCGCACACGTCGTTTATACGTGGCGAGGAAACCGTAACATAAACACCACCAACGCTCGAGTTTGTACGTGTATGCCTACGTGGTGTTTATGTCCTGTGCAGCTCGTATAATATGGCATATTATACGGAGACTCCGTTTCCGGCTCTCATCGCGGCGCTCAGTCTCCCATAACGATCATGTACGGGCGCTCGGTCCGGAAACAACGTCCTACTACCGTACCTCTGGATTGTGTTGTGCAATATATTTATTAATAAGTAGAAAAAAAAAAAAAATTGTTCCTTTGTCCTTTTTCGCATGGCTCGTTTTGTGCAGGGAACAAAGGAGCTTAGACCGAAGGTCGTCTTGGGTTAGTAAATGCTGTCCATCAGAATCGTTGAGGATTGATGGATACACGAGCTGGAAGATTTTCAGATGACACATAAAATTATAGGTTGACGAGGTGTTTTTGCACGATTTACCGAGATCTATTTTTTCCTTACTGTAGGCAGTTGATTACATTTTAGATCTGATGCATGACCGATTTATCGTTCAACTAATATGCTGCGGCTCCAATTATCAAGTTGAAAAGCCAAATAAATTTGAAAATAAATAAAACAGCAGACAAACGCGTTTAGTTGCGAACAGAAAAAGACAGCGCATTATGATTTTCAGCTGTACTTTTGCGACCGAAGTATCCATACAAATAGAACTCACCCGAGAGAAAATTGGACCATCGGTGGGAAATGTTGACCTGTCGAAAACGAGTATGTAATCTAAGCACGATTGCTCTGTGCTTATTTTTATTTATTTTTTTTTTTTTTAAGGGACCAGCCAATTCACGGACTCTGGTTCGTGTATTTTGATCTTTTAAATCCTAGCACGTGCTGGGCTCAATTAAAATGACACGAGCACCAATCTTGCATGAAAAAATATAACGCGCTGATAAATTTCAACGTAAATGTCACACCTGCAACGACAAATTATGTCTTTGTATCAATGAACGATCGACGGGGGAAAAAAGTGGAATTTCGCATCAAAGATCCAAGCTCGTACCGATCTTTTTGAAAATTCGTAGCACACCGGCTCTCCCGACCCAATCAACTCAAGAACGAAACTCGTAGCCACGGAGGGTCTGCGCGAGTTCGCGGGGCCGGGAAAACGGAGGAAAGATGGAAATGGCGAGAGAGAGAGAGAGAGAGAGAGAAAGAGGAAGGAGAGGAGGAGAAAAGTCAGGAGCTGCTCTCCCCAGTCATTATACGTATATATACAGTGCACGAGAGGGGCATCTCCTTCTCCCGCGAGCGCATAAGCGCGAGTGGAAGCGCGGACTCGGCAATACTACCTCTTTCTCGAAGGAACAGTATAACAACAACAACAACAGGTGGTCGGCAAAAAGAAGGAAAGAGCGACGAGAGAAGTGCTCCGGTGCATGAACGGCGGGCTTAGGCTAGGCAACTAGAGTCGGTGTATAGGTACGGCACAGGTGAGCGCAGGCAGGTACATTGCCCACGTACACTTTCGAAGCGCGCCAGTTGTCGGACGGTCGCGCGAGTTCGTTGTCCGAGACGCGCTCTCTTCCTATACGGAGTCCTTCGACTCGGGGTGTCCAGGGTATCCTCGGATGCGTCATAACTTTACACTTTGTTTCATCGGGAAGAAAATCGTTATGTGTGGTCTCTTCGATCCGGGAAAGGATCGGCAAGTATAGTTTGACCGACGTTTGTGCAAACTTGTGGGAGGAGCTCGAGTTGGCTTGTGAATCTATTGAGTGCGCGGTTGTTTCGTCTCCTGTGAGTTGGTTGCGGCATGAAGTTACAGGGACTCGTTGAGCTACAGCTGAGAAAACTCGCGAGGATCGGCTGCCGGTAGGACCTTTCACGGCTCTGCCTCTGGTGAGTTTTTTTTTTATAGATACATGCTAACTGATGGATCGCATCGATGGTTGACGGATTTTTTCACGGTGGACCTTTTACATTCGTTTCTGATACCTCCGGCGGGGACAAGATAAGAAGGCGGTCTCTTGCATAGTTTCCGAAAATCCACATTTTCAAAGACCTCAGAGTACGCAGCCCCTCGATTTTCAATGGTAACACTTTATTTTCAACAACTTTGAGTTGGCAATTTCGTCCTGCCAGTGCTCGACATTGGGCAAATTGTACTTTCGTCATCAACCCGATTCAATGGTACTAAACATACACCTCAAATGTAATTTGATGAAAACCCATTTTCACGTCGTTATCGATCGCTCGTATCAATTCAATTCGAGTTTATATACATCATGCACACGATAGTCCTCCGATGCATCATCACTTTGTATTTATACTCGATAAACCATGGGTGTATGTTATTTATTTATTTTTTTTTTTTTTTACACCCTTGCTCCAGTTTTTGATTTTCCCGATGATTGAAGTTTACACGCGTCTCGAGTGTTACACCTAAAGTATTATGTTTTTCCTCCGAAATTGCACCCCTGATGCGTTGTACGCGAGCTCCCGCAAATCACACCCGATGGTCCGTTTCGCGCGTGTCAGTGTATATACATACGTACGTGTAATATGCAAGTGGAGGGCAAGTGAGCCGTGAAACGGTACCGCAAACCCGCGTATCCCTGTAAATTTTACGTTCGCAAGCAAATCGCGCCTTCGACGCACATTTTTCTCGCTTCGGTCAACGGTACCCCGGTTTAACGACGACGACAAAAGCATATACTGCAAGTGGTACACGATGGAATCGTCCCCAATACTGGGACAACCCGATCTACGATACTTGGTTTTATTTTATTTTATTTTTTTTTTTTTATTAAAAGGAAGAGAAGGAAGAGGGAAAAAAACCACTCACAAGTAGCCAACAAGCGCACGCGAGAAAAATATACGCGGAGGAGGAAAGTCACGCCAATTATACTGATAATTGCGCACGTATGCACCCACACACGCATGCCCCGGCGCTCCATACAAGAATATACTCTCTTTGGAACGGACTTGCGGTAAAAGTGCGCCTCTGATCTTTTTTTTTTTTTTTTTCCATCCCAGCCAGTTGATTCATTAATGGGAATAATAAGCGCCGTATTTAGAGCCGCACGGGAGGGGGCAGAGGGAAAAGCGCGCTAACGACGAGACAACCGCGAACGAGAGATTGATAAATAACGGAATAATCGCATCGATCTCCTCCTCGATCGGTGTGCAACTGACACCGAGATCATTACGTTTGGAGAATCTCGTGTGTATCTCGTACAGTTGCATGTACATTTTTAATTGGAACGCAAAACAATGAGGATACGCGCGGAAAATGGAGCGAGTGAGAGTGCATGAAACACACGGTGCTGGCGGCAGTGGCTGTTTACGGCGATGAAAAGAAAGTTCGTCGATGGAGTTTTTTACATTAATTATCAGCTGATGGCCCGTGACTCTGCGAAAATGGATAATTTCACGCGTCCCGTTAACGTCTTTTTTTTTTTCTTTTTTTTCTTTTTTTTCTTTTTTTTTGAACGAAATCGATCGCTCGACAATTTTTTTATTGAATTACGCATCCTCTCCGGTACGAGACTCTTTGCCGCGATAAATCACGTGCTGGTAATGGACGCGATCAAGTGAGTCGAAGATTTTTTTTTTTTTTTTTTTCTATAACTGTTGTATCAAACGTCACCTGTAAAAATTATTATTGAGGATACATGTAAGGATGTATGTACAGTTGGAGTAAAAATTTACGCCAAAAGTCAGTTCCGGCGAGTGTCGTTTACGGCCTCTGGGAGGATAAAATTAACCCTCGAATCGAGTCCTCCGAAAGGAGGAAAAAGGAGGCAAGGACTCGGATTTAAAAATAATCGCGACATTGACCGACTCTTGCAAATTGACGCGTACGGGTGACGCGAACAACCTTTCGTTTCCCTAAAACCGAGTGATAAACATTTCGAGAAGCAACATCGATAAGAGGGGAAAAAAAAACGGAGCAAGATCGCGAGAGTCGTAAATGGCGCGTAGACACAGCGCACGGACAGACTCGCGTAAGTAGGCCTTTCTGGCGGCTCTCAGTGAAGGCCCGAGATTCCAGCCGAGGTGGAATTATTGTTGTCGGTGCTCTCCTCACGTCTCGATTCGCTTTCGGAATAAAGGGGGGCACGGCTTATTCCGCGGATGCGAGGTGTTTCGTGTGCGCGCCTCGGACCTCTCATTGGGAGGAGCTTTGCGCGTAAGGAGAAGCAGGAACTTTATCACGCAGGATGTATGCAAACGCCACGGGATTTTTATACTTTTTGTTGAAAACGTCATACTCGGCAACGAAAGTATTACAACACGTAGAAGCTTTACTAGATTTTTTTTTTTTTTTTTTATATATTTCTGTAACGATTATATGCTTAAAAATTAATGCAAACGATTGTTTTCGATTATAAAAAAAAAATGTCCGCGTAAAATGTAAGGAATGTATTTATTTGATTGAGAAAACAAAATATTCCAGAAACATAATGGTTGGACAAAAGTCATAACTTGATTAATGGCGCGTAAAACAGAATACATAAAACTGAGCCTGTACATGGAAAAACAAAAAAAATCGTAAGTATATATTGAGAGCACATATATAGGTCCTAGTGAAAAAAATACAAAGTCATATCCTCTTCACCCAACACTGGCCGAACCCATCGATAGTTTTAGTATACAGGTTGACGCTAGCGCTGCCCGACCATGGTGTAAGTTATACGTTAAGTAATCATGTGTAGTACTAATCACTACTGAGTGGTGCCATATGGTGGATTTCATTAAACCATACAGGTAGAATATCTAAACTTTTGGAGGTCAATTTTCGGCTCAGAAATAGATTGTAAACTTGCCGCAGATAGCACAGAATGCTTTAAATTTTTATTGTTCATCTATGAGATTAGTTGCGGCTGGTTTATAGTTAACAAAGTGGCTCTACCTTAAGTAGCAATAGTTATTTTGATCAGCGCCATCTAGCGGTCTTTATTTTTTGGCCAAAAGTGGCCTCTAAAATTCTGAAACCGAGCTTTAGCGCGTATAGCCATTTAATCAATTATAAACCAGCCGCAACTCATATTAAAGCTATAAAATGAAAAAATAACAATACATGTGTTTTTGGCGGCAAGTTACAAATTTATCTTTTACTCGAAAATTTATCTTCAAAAGTATAAATAGATAGAAGATCGATTTTTTGTAAAAAATAAATTGTTAACTTGCCGCCAAAAACAGATGTATCGTTATTTTTTCATTTCATAGCTTCATCATAAATTGCGGCTGGTTTATAATTGACTAAATAGCTCTGAGCTCAATTGCTCTGTATCAAAAGTTTGGGGCCACTTTTTAGTTCAAAAATCCGCAACGCTAGATGGCGCTGATTCAAAAATTATCACTATGTATACTTACAGTAGAGCCATTTAATCGATTATAAACCAGCCGCAACTTATTATGTAGGTAAACAATGTAAAGTTGACATTTTCTATGCTGTTTGCGGCAAGTTTACAATTTATTTTTTATCTTGAAACTGACCTCTAAAGCCATAAATATTCTACTTATTTTATATGGCTCATAAAAATTTTATTAAGCTAATTTGATTATAACGTTTTATTTGTTGAATTTATCAATGGTCGTCAGTGTCGAATTATAATTTTTTTCCAGTTAGAAATTTGTGTCAACAATGACTGTGCCAGTAAAATGTGGTATGGAGATGAAAAAGATTAGCGGCTCTATAATATCTTGTATGTTCGAAGAAAGAACTGAATCTCGTAGTGACTGTAAAAGGAGGGCAAAGTTTTCGGTAATTTATAATCACTAACAATATTTAAAACTAGGTTCTGTCAAACGTGCTTTTTTTTTGGTCACCTTATTCTTGCGTTTTCACCAACCACGTTATTTTACATTAATCGAAGTTTACAAAATTACTATACTTTATACTGCTCGTTCTCATGTTCGGCGCTAAAGCACAAGTAGAAAGAGACACAACATGGAACATGGGTATCTGTCTCTCGCACATTGCAAAAGGTGGGAGCGTGAATATCCACTGCCGTGCGAGAGAGATAGATGCCCACGTTCGATGTTGTGTCTTCTTCTATTTTTGCTTTCGGACCCGTTAAGGTTAGGTTGGCTTCAAGCAGAAAGCACACTTCCACTGTTTGTTTTCTATACGTGTCTCTCTTTATTGATGCTGTAGCTGCCAAAATGGATATTCTTTTGTTAATATCAATTNATCTTATTAGTTCACAAATTTCTCTAATATTCTTCTATTTGTGATGCAAGTTGAGACTTTTAACTTGTGTGCTATCAAACTTTGTTATTGTAATATTAAAGCTCACAACATGAATGTGTGATACATTGCACTGTAACATAACGCTGAAAGTTTTTTAATCCAACATAGACCATTACATTATTTTTGAGGATTAATCAAAATGAATTTATTATATAGAACAACTTGTTAACTTTCAATATTTAAAATCATTTAACAGTGTACTTACGTACAAGGTCATTTCAATTAAAAAATTAATCAAGGTAGGATTGGTAGGATCAGCTTCTGCAGACTTACAATAAGATTTAAGAGCTGCTTGTATAATCGTCATTAATTATTTGTTAAATGTAAAAGAAATAAAGCTCTATGTTCTATTAACAAATTTTCTTTATTTTACAAATAAACACAAGCCCTTAACATAAAATTATGAATTTTGAATTTCTTTATATCTTAAACACCTCTGGTATAGTGGGATCCAATGCTCGATTCTTATGAGACTCTTTGTAACACTAAACATCTTTTTGAAGCCTTTTTTCTTCTGTCATCTCTTTTAGACTAATAAATTCACGTATTTGCTTAATTGTTATTCAAGATTCCTGTAACACAATACGTATCATATAAGTAAACTGTTTATCTAAACTTTAACGTTAAAATAGAATATTTC